GAAAAATTTCTAATTAATAAATTCTAAACTGTAGGTATTACTTGATATATCAGGATTTTCTAATTAATGTGAAATTTACCTGCTATATCTAAATATAATGAATTTCTTATTTATTATTTGAAATGAAAAGTAATGGCCACTAACAGAGCTTTTGCTTACAATGATGTTAACTATAGAATAATCAGTTGTATTGAAAACAGTCACCCATTTTATAAGATGGAGTTCTGGAAAAATATTTCTAATATTAGGCACCTACTTTCTTCTAACTATGTAAGTATCATCTACCACACATATAGAAATTTCCCATGCTGTACTTGATTTAGAGTAAGTGCCTGGCCCTAGACATAAAGTTTTAAGTTTAGAAATAAACTCTTTCAAAATGCATGGGCCCCCACAAAGCACAGATTTTTAGAAGTGTGGTATTGTATAACAGATGGGGGTTTAATGAAGTAAAGCACAGTTTGTAACAGGTTCATTGTTTCATATGCTCTGGATCACTAAATTGGCAGGTAGAGATGAAAGGTGCATTAAAATGGACATCCCGAAAATTGTAGAATTCCCTCAAAGGAATACAGTCTTTAATTCTGAATTATGCAGCTGATTTTAATGAATTGGAAATCATAATGCATAACCTTTCCCTGACGCAGGAAGGAACTGTGAGCTGTGCAAGGATTACTTTTTCCGACAAGTTGGTGCAGATCCTTCAGCCATAGATGTTTGCAAGCCCTGTGATTGTGATAAAGTTGGCACTAGAAACAGCAGCCTCCTTTGTGATCAGGTAAGTTCTGCTCAGTACTGAAGGCAAAGGATTACTCTCTCTGCCAGAAATTGAGAGAGATCCTACCAGTGGAATTGAAGACTATATTTACCAGGAAGTCCTCTGTGTGTGTTTGCATTTCAAAGAGATGATTGCTTTAAGAGTGTTCCTGTGCAACTTATAGTATGTACACGATATATAGGACTACTTAGTTGGTCCTCTGCATGAAAGAAACACCGATTTTAGTTTTAATTTTACAGATGTCAAAAAATTGGAGGGTTGGGGTTCCCAGTAAACCAGCAAGTCAATTGAGTATATGTCTTGGAATTACTGGTGAAATAATATTAATAAATGATATGAATAAACAAGGATGGTTCCTCCAAAAATTCCATAGAAGATAGTATAACAAAAGTCACTTACACATAGATCCAAATGGAAATTATGATAACCTTACTTCTAAGTTTCTTATTCCAACTTTCTTTCTTAAGAGTGCAATATATTTTTTATAATTTTAAAACATTTTTATTACCTATATCACAAATAATGATGTCTAACTACATGCACACATTTACCCTGAATTTTCAGTGTGGCTATATTTTGCTTGTCATTGAAGTCCCAACTCAAATACTGATACACCTTTTGAAATGTCTTTGCTGACCTCCCTATTACAAAACATTCTCAAATCACTGTCTCTCATCTCACCCTGTGTTATTTTCATTATGGGCTTTGTGAAATTAATTTATTTGTTTACATTTTCCTTCTCTCTATCCAGCATAAGCAGAATAGTTTCAATCATGTAATTAGCACCCAATAAATATTTGTTGAATAAATACTGAATGAATGAAGAGAGATTATGTCTGAACACTGATCCTATAGTCAGATTGTCATTTAGAATGGTCATTATAATAATCTGAGCATTATGTACAATTTCCACTTAAAGGACAGTTCTTCTCCCTGAAGAGCTAAGGTCAAGTAAGTTTGGTATATACTATTCAAAGACTGTGAACTAAAGTTCTACCTCTCATAACCTCGATTATATGTTATAAGCCATATGGATTCAAGTATAGCAGATTTGTTTCTCAATTCTACAATTCGAATATGAAAGAAATTAAAATCTGATTTTTCTGAACTCAAATTTCTATTTCAAGTTTATTTCATTCAGGTGGTGGACAATTTTGGGTGGTTCTGTGCTTATAAATATTTAACAACTGAGTATCCAAGAAAAAAAAAAACCTACCATAATCAAATTCATGCCACCAGTGAGATGTCACTAAACATGGAATTGAGATGTATTTAATCTGCTCTTATGAGGCAGTGCAGACCCCAGCAAACTATTGGCTCTGGATCTCTTTCTCCACCTCTTGTAGGGTAGATCTAATTCTTGGGTGGACTTGTGGAAGAGTATACCATGTAAAAGCAGGATATCAGCTACAGATAGGCATTTTTTGGGTAGATGTTCTTTTTCAAGTTGGGCAAGTTATCCTCTATTCCTAGTTTTGAGAGTGTTTATCATGAATGGAGTTGAATTTTGTCAACTATTTCTGCATCAATTCTGATCATGTGATTTATTTTTAGCTTGTTAATAAGATGGATTACATTAGTCGATTTTTGAATATTGAACCAGCATTGCATTCCTTGAATTAAACCAACTTGGTCTTTGTGTATATTGCTGAATTCTATTTGCTAAAATTTTGTTAATAATTTTCCATCTATATTCATAAGAAATATTGGTTTATAGTTTTCTTTTTACATACTGTGTTTGGTTTTGCTATCAGGGTAACACTTTCATAAAATGAGTTAGGAGGTCTTCCTTTTTGTTTCCTGTAAGAGGCACAGAACTGTTGCTAATTACTTTTTAAAGGTTTAGTAGAATTCCCGAATAAAATTATAATATCTGGAATTTCTTTGGAGAAAGAAAGAATTTATAATAAATTCAAAACAAAATTCTAAAAATTCATATACAAGAAGAGAGAAAAAGAAATCAGAGTGATATTGACATCATTAGCAATTAATTTTTCTAGAAAGTAGTTCAGAATTACCTTAAAAATTCCAAGGGAAGACATTTTGAACAACCGAGTACCCAGTTCTAACCAAACTATCACTCTGATATAAGGTTAAGACTCTTCTTGTACTGATAAATGGTCACTTATAACTCCATATTAAAATACTTAATATACAAAATGAAAAAGGAATGTAAGATAGAGGACAATATTGAACACAAGAAGTGACAAATAATTGTGATCCAAAAAAGTAAATATGTCAAAATATATTTTAAAAGTCTCCATTGATATTTATGATCCTGAAGAATATTATCCTTAAGTAGGTTTTTAATAGTTAGATTTTATTCTTTTAAGATCAAATAACAATTTGTTTTGTGCCTAATAATATTTATATAACCATAATGTCAGCTTTGTTTATATTGGCTATGAAATTCAACCCAGAGACAAAGAGGACAAGACATAATGGCTATAAGATGAAAGGTAAATACTCTAAAATTGAGTGTCTATACATAGAAGGATATAAATTTGGAGATAAAGAATAAAACAGAAATAGAAGATGTTGAAAATGCATTAGTATCTCTAACTTTTAAGTAGAAAGTCAATAGATATTATTAGGTATTTTATTTAGAGTTATACAAATAACAAGTAGAGAGCTGAAAATAATAATATAACCAAATATTTACATGAGAAACTGGATGCTTTTCCCCTAAGAATGGGAACAAGACAACAATGTCCTCTGACCACTTCTATTCAACATTGTACTGCAAGTTCTAGCCAGGGAAATTAGGCAAGAAAATCAAATAAAAGACATTCAGGTTGCAAAAGAAGTAAAACTATCTGTATTTGCATATGACATGATCCCATAGATATAAAGTCCTAAGAAATTCATTTTAAAAACTATTAAACTAATAAATAAGTTCAGAAAGTTTTCAGAATACAAGATCAATATATAAAAATCAATTATATTTCTATATACTTGCAATGAACAATCTAAAAATAAAATTAAGAAAACTTCATTTAAAAATAGCATCGAAAGAATAAAATATTTAGGAATAAATTGAATAGAAGAAGTGTAAAACTTATATTCTGAGAACTAAAAAACATGTTGAAAGAGATTATAGATGACCCAAATATAATAAAAGGAAAGACATCCAATGCTCATGTATCAAAACACTTATTATTAAGATGCCAGCATTCTCCAAATTGATTTACAGATTTAATGCAATCTTTATTAAAAGCCCAAGTGGCTTCTTTACAGACATTAACAAGATGATCCTAAAATTTACATGAAATTCAAGTGACTCAAAATGTCCAAAACAAACTTGAAGAAGAACAGAATTGGAAGACTTGCCCTTCCTAATTTTAAAATTTACTATAATGTTGCAATAATCAAGATAGTATGGTAATGGTATAAAGATAGACGTATAGATCACTGAAATAGAATTGAAAGTCTAGAAATATATCCTCACATTTACAGTCAATTGATTTTTGACAAAAATGCCAAGACAATTCAATGGAGAATGTGTATGTAGTCTTTTTAACAAATGGTCCTGGGACAACCGTGTATCCATATATAAAAAATGAAGCTGGACTCCTACTTCACACCATATATGAAAAATATTAACTTTAAATGGAACAAAGAGCTGAATGTAAGAGCTAAAACTCTTAGAATAAAATATAGATGTAAAATCTTCATATCCTTGGATTAACCAATGGCTTTTTAGATATGACACCAAAAATATAAGCAACAAAAGAAAAATGTATAAATTAGACTTCATTAAAGTTAGAAGCATTTGTGTTTTAAAAGATACAATCAAGAAAGTGAAAAAACAACCTAAAGAATTATTTGTAAAGCATATAATAAATAAATATAATAATAAAATATTTGCAAAGCGTATATCTGTCTGATAAGAGACTTGTCTCTAATACAGATGAAGGATATTTATGATTCAATAATAAAAAGACAAGTCAATGAAAAAATGGGTAAAGAATCTGAGTAGATATTTCTCCTAGGAAGATATAGAAATGATCAACAAGCACATGAAAGATGCTAGATATCATTTGTCATTAGGGAATGCAAATCAAAACCACAGTGAGATCCTACTTCACACCCAGTAGGATGGTTATAACTAAAAAGACAGAAACAAGAGTTGGTGAGAATGTAGAGAAACTGGAACTCCCATAGACTGCTGATGAGACTGTAAAATGTGCACCTACTTTGGGAAACAGTCTGGTGTTCTTCAAAATATTAAACAGAGTTACCATATGACCCAGAAGTTTTACTCCTCAGTGGATAGCATATATATTCATGAAATGTTATTTGCGAATGTCATAGCCACATCATTCGTAATAGTCAAAATGTAGAAACAAACTGTCCGTCAACTGATGTGTGAGTAAATAAGATATAGTACAACCACACAATGGAGTATTATTCTGCAGTAAAAAGAGAGGAAGTCCTGGTACATGCTACAACATGTACTTAAGTCTTAGAAAGGAGAGTAGGGAAGGAAGGGACAAAGAAGAGAGAAAGCTTTTTTGTTGTTGTTAAGTTGTTTCTGTATGTTGATAATTTTCCATATGTAAAAATATAGCTTAAAATACATAAAAGGAAAGACATACTTTAAAAGATTAACATTTTTCTTTGTTTTAAAAGCATTTTTCCTTCTTTAAAAGTTTTTTCTTTACAGATCTGCTTTGTTGACTATAGTCTGAAAAACAACAAAAAGAATTTTCTTTAAATCGGATACGTAGCCAGAGAATGTAATATGAATGTAGATAAAAATGATAGAACTCTTTTGTGATCGTAAAACCTCCACATTATCTATCTCTAAATTGCAGTCATGTTTTGCCTTAATTTTTATTTTTTCTCATGCTCCAAGTACAAAGTATATAGGCTGTTGTTACATGTGGAAATATTTTGTCACATACACCTTGCCTGAAAAATGTTATAAAAGATTTCTAAACATGTTTACTGTCATTATCAATGTGATAACAGAATACACACTAAAAAAGTTGTCAACA